TTGCCGTGTTGTTTGCTTGTTGTTTGCATGTTGTTGCCGTGTTGTTTTCTTGTTGTTTGCATGTTGTTGATGTGTTTTTTGCATGTTGTTGACATGTTTGCATGTTGTTGATGTGTTGTTGACGTGTTGTTTGCATGTTGTTGACGTGTTGTGTTGTTGTTTGCATGTTGTCAACGTGTTGTTTGTGTGTTTGCACGTGTTGACTTGTTGTTGACCTGTTGTTGACATGTTGTTGGCCTGTTGTTGTTGTTGTGCTCTAGGCGTGAGAACGGCAGCGGTGTGTGTCTGGACCTCCAGGTGATCGATAACGTCCCCGGAGCCAAAGTCGAGGAAGAAACCGAGACGCATCACTTCCTCACAGGGAACCTGTACAAACCCAGGAGACGGGTAACAAATACACACACACACACACACACACACACACACACACACACTAATACTCACAACAGTGACCTCATTCTTTAAGTAAAGATGTTATCGGAGTCTTTAAAGACATTTGATGGGTTCTATGGAGTTCCAAGGGTCCATGAGGACATTCTTTGTGTCCTGGAATATGTTGTAGAGTCTTTGAAGAGGTCCAGGGTTCCTTCAAAAGAGTACAGCGTTCCTTACAGAGAGTCTTTGATTACTTGAAGATGTTTCAGGAGTCATTAAAGAGGTTTTTTAAAAGGGGTCCATGCAGAGCTTCAAGGGAACCTTCAGGAGGTTGCAGGGTTTGTTGAGCTTCCAGGATCCTTGAGGAGGTTGTAACAAAGGTGGAGGGGAGTATCTAATGGAAATATAAACATCAAGTACTAACTCCTTAAAAAACACGTTTTACTTTCTAATTGTGAAGTTGTCAAAGTTTAAATTGGTGATTTGAGGCTAAAAACTTAAACACAATATACATGAAAGTTGTCATGTTTCATATTAAACTAAAGCATTTATTGACCCTGTGTTCTGACTGTTGTTGTTGTTGTTGTTGTTGTGTGTGTCCAGTATCAGTCCCACTACAGCAGACACTTCATGCCTCTGGGGGAGAAGGAGCGTCAGGACCGAGAGGTGTTCCAGAGGAATATGAAGAGCCGCATGGAGACGTTCAAGTCCACCCGACACAAACGACACAAGAAGGACCGGACCCTCAAGAAGGTAAGAAACATACACTGGTTGTACTTCTACTTGTAGTGGTAGTACAAGTAGTAGCAGTAGTAGTAGCAGTAGTACTAGTAATAGTAGTAGTAGTGGTAGTAGTATAGTAGTGGTAGCAGTAATGTTGTTGTTTGTTGTTGTTGTTGCTATTGTGAGAGACTTTTAGTCCACAATCACTGGATCATCAATAACTCCTTTGATAAGTTTGTTTATGTTGAATAAATGCTTCTCTTAGATATTGTTTTTTATCAATTAACCAGTTGAACACAGAGTCACAGTCCAGCCTCTGTGGACCAGTTCCCCCAGTACACTGCTGGTTCTTTCGGTTCATTAGCAGCTGGTTCTTTAATGACAGGCGTCTGATTGGAGGAGCTGCTTCCTGTTTATAGTTGCCAGTTTACTCTTGTGTTCATTGTTCCTTCTGCAGCGGCGAGGATCTGACTCCAGAGAGGACAGCAGCGACAAACCCAGACGCAACGTCAGCTGGCAGGACAAGAGTAAATAAAGACTCGCCATCATTAAAATACTTCTATCACAATAAGAGACAATATAAATACTTCTCTCACAATAAGAGACAATATAAATACTTCTATCACAATAAGAGACAGTATAAATACTTCTACCACAATAAGAGACA